AACAACACGTTACGTTACTAACTAACGTAACAACCAAACCAAACCTAACGTAACGAACGAACTACTACTACGTAACGTAACTTACTACTACTAACTAAACTACTACTCTCTCTCTCTCTCTCTCTCTCTCTCTTATAAATATATCTATATACATACATATATATATATATATATATATACACTTTGGGCCTCCCAATCATCCACTCTCTTTCTACAACATCCACTCCCTCTGAAACCTCCTCCTGGATGTTTCCCTACAAGGAAAATTCCTTTCTATTTGGGTTTAAGCGTATTAGTTTTCTTTGTTCCTAAGAATGAATCAGAAATGAGATTATCACTTGGATCTGCATCTTCAAGTATTCCATCCATCCAATACATGAATTAATCAATTGATCCATCCACCAATCGCAGCAAATCCATCTCTAATTTTCATGGTTAGTTACTTGCTGCTCCTAGTTACTTGATCTGTACTGGAAAGTGTCTCTTGTTTCTAGGGCTAGTTTTTAAAATTGTTGTGCCTAGTCTAATTTTGATCCTCCACTACAAATTCATCTCTTATTTCTGAGTTTCTTTAAAATATTGCCAACAAAATTCTCTCTTGGTGACTAATTTTACTAAGCAAACAATGAGATACCTTGGTTCCTAAGACCATTCCTGGTCTTTGCTCTCTGTAATTATCTAATTCCAAATTCTAGGGTAACAATAGGTAAAGGCAGCCAAGTCGATGGCTCGATCCCTCCTCCTGGTTCTAGGTCACCAGTCCTACTCATTCTGGAATGACCTCTCCCATGTACGAAGCACCACATCAAAATATACCCAAAATCCTTGCCATCACTTTGAGATACTCAACCCTCAGCCAAAAATTGTTTTTCCAAATCCTTATTTCCAACTCTTGCTAGAGAAGAAAACGTTCAGTAGATTTGTGGTGACTATTCAGGACAGAAGGTGCAAAACTCCAAAAAAGAGGGGTAAGTTTGAAGAACCCAATGGATTTAAAGGGACAAGCAAGAATGGTAAGTTACATTTGTTTGGATGAGAGATTCCATGAAGTTTTGTTAATGTTGAAGTAGTATTGCATGGTGAAGTCATATATATATATATATATATATATATATAGGAAAATGTTGAGATTAGCCCACTAGCTCATATGAATATATGAGCCCAACGACCTAGATTGAATCTGGGCCGATCTAACAGACACGACCTCATTTTGTGTTTGAATTTTAATTTTTTTTCTAAAAATCCAAATAACTTGAAATTTTAGGGGTCTATTCTTCTAATCAAGGCGCACCTAATAAAAATATTTAAAAATTAATTCGCAAAAAAAAAAAAAAATTCTCCAAAACTTTTTAGGGGTATTTTGGTCAATTTATTTTTTGCAAATTAGTTTTTTGATATTTTTATTAGATTCTACTATTTTTGAGGAATACATGCCTAAAATTTCACGTTATTTGGATTTGTAGAAAAAAAAAATTAAAATTCAAACACAAAATGAGGTCGTAACCGTCAGATAGACCCAGATTCAATCTGAATCGCTGGGCTCATATACTCATATGAGCTAGTCGGCTAATCTCAGTATTTTTCATATATATATATATATATATATAAAGAATCTGGCTAGGGACAAGACGGTAGCAGCGGCGTTTTCATAGCACTACATCCCAAGTTCCATTCCTATATAACCTTGTCAATATATATACAGATATGTATACACATGCAATCCTGGCCGAGGGTAATACTTAGATGCCACGGCTGTAGCCTTTGTTTGTACTAGTTGGGAGTAATACTTGTATGGCCTTCATCAACCACAATGAACCCAACGGCACTGGGGTCTCCTTGTCCTCCCACACGAGGCTCCGCATTGAGGGTCTGCTTTTCGGACATTCCCTCGCTCAATGGTCACTCCCACATATGAAATAGCTTGAGAAGGCCTTTCGAGGTGCCTCTTTCCCTTTTGCTACCCCCTTCTCAGGTCTAGTTTCATTTCCGCGTACCACCCTCTCGCCATTCAGCCTTGATGGCCCACCTTTGTGGTTTGAATCCATTGCCCCACGAAGTTCAAGGTCTGCTAGCCCCTTAGCTACCGCCATAGCAATAGGCAAGTCCCGCACGCCTTGCCTCCTCAACTGGTCTGAGCCCAACCCTATAAACCAAACACAAAATTGAACCGATCCTCCTCAGTCATGGCCTGTATATCCAGCATCAACAACATGAACCTATTCACGTAGTCACGCATCGAACCTGTCTGGCGAAGCTTTCTCAATGCCTCACCAGCTACCCAGGCAGCATTACGTGGCAAGAACCGCTCCTTCAGTTCTTGTTTCAAGGCCTCTCAAGTGCTCACCTTGGGCCTTGAAGTGTCCGCAACCCTCATCCTCCACTAGAGTTTCGCATCTCTAGTGAGGTACACGGAACAAATGCCAACTCTATCCTTCTCATGGGCATGAGCAGCCTCGAAATACTACCCTATGTCCCACAGGAAGTTCTCCAACACCTTGGAGTCCTGCTGGCTTTCGAAACACATGGCTCTGGCACCCTCGCAGCTCAAGAGTCCAACCCACCACTAGTGTTACCCAAGGCCCTCTTGGCAAGTGCCATGTCTTTCTGTAGGGTCATGAGGTTTGCCTCGAAGGTTTCAGTGAAGGCCTTAAGGTTGTCCATGAGCCCTCCCATACGAGCATCATATCACAACGCCCCTCCACCTTCAAAGCACCGAACCGAGCCTCTAAGGCAGCAAGGTTCTGTCCTAACCCGACATCCTGAGCCCCTTGGGTGAGTTGTTCCAACTGTATCTCAAGGTGTACAACATGATCATGCAGATCAGCCATACCACCAATGATAGTCGCATCGTGCCAACCTTAGGCTCTGATAGTGCCACCACGTCTCACGTGCCGCCTACATGGTCTGTACCTCATGCCACAATCATGTCTAGATTTCATGGTTAGGTCAACTGATGCCATCACGTCCAATGTTTTTTGCCACGGATGTCTTCCATGTGCTCATCTTGGGTCTTGACACAAGCTTCGCGCCTTCACCGTAATGCAAGTAGCTTCTACTAGGTCTCGAGGTGGTCTACACGATCCTGGCTACGTGGCCAATTCTGTTGTTTCCACCACACCCATACTTGCTCTGATATCGTCTTTCACGGGGCTATATATAGCGAGGACCTGGTCGCATACCGCCATCTCTCGCTCACACACCACTACCTCGGTCATGCCCCACAATCCTATGGCCTGTCGACTACATTCCACCGTCACTCAAGGTCCCCTCTGGGGTCCAAGACTGTCAGGCCCTCAGCTTTAACCTGTTAGTCCGCATTGTCCGTACCCTTGCGCCAGGCCCTCCTCACCCGGATGCCTTGACACACACATCACACGGGTCACATGAGGCTTTCTGAGAAAAGGGGTCTTCCAGGGGGACAATCCACTCTCTCTCATCTATATATATATATATGAGAGAGAGGGAGGAGCGAAGGTTTGGTTGTTTTCATTAAGAGAGAAAGGGGGAAGCCTAAAGCCCTGGTTTTCACCTCACATAGTGCCTAGAGAGAGAGAGAGAGAGAGAGAGAGCACTACGAGTAATTTGTGGATAAAAAGAAAAGACGGTAAGCATTCTCTTTGTTCATCCATGATTTGGTCCTCTTAACCATATATGAACACCACCTTTGTAGTTTTCATTTTTTATTTAGCCCCTTAAACTATTGCTTGAAGTGGCATCCAAATATGTCCTTTATTGTTTGAAATGAACCACAATCAATGGTTCATCTCCCAGGAGATAAGGAAACTACACAATTGCCATATTCCAAACCTACCAAAATGCCCAAAAGAAAGAAAAGCTTATATAAACTCCACAGTTGCCTTCTTTTCATGTGGCCTGCCATTGGTGGCCATTCTTTTTTTATTAAAGCAGTATAATAGCAATATCGTTAAATATTTCCTCTAAAATATACAATTTCATGTCTCAGCTGCAAATCACTAAAGCCAATTCTGGATGACTACAAATGAACCATAGAAAAGGGAGGCCATTGTATATTAATTCCAGGTTCCAGCAACATAAAACTCTGAATAGAAAAAAAAAAAAATCCAGCAATAGAACCTGTGCATGAATCATCAAAAATTGACAGCTGACAGCCGTTACTGTGAAGCCTCTCTAATGTATAATATTTTCATATCTCTAGAAGCCTTATGCATAAACATCTCTTTATTCATAAATTTTGTTATGTAAAAACACTGGTAGGGTCAGAAAGCAATCTGATAAGGCATACTTAAATGAAATCATATATTTAGAAGGTCAGATAACACATATATCATAATCAGGTGAAAGCATGAAATCTATTTATCAGACCTGGGGATGCACTTGTCCAATCCGAACCAAAAGTGATTGTATTAATTCCCTCACGGCACGATTGTTTGAATGTATCCTTGCGATTATTTGGGGTAAAACTACCAACCATGTGTCAATATTAACATGTGCAAAACCCTTTTGTAAGGCATGCTGAACTTCAGAGGTAGCACCATAGTTGAACCACAACGTGAGAAGACGAAGGATATCCTGAAAATCATGTTGGAATGCATCAGAGAATCTTTGGAATGCACCCAAGAAAATTTTGTTTGAGGAAGTCAATTTTCCCTATCTAAAATCATGGAAAACTTTAAATTAGACATTCTGCAAGTGCCACAAATAAGCTATATTAAACAAGCACTCTAACCACTGCTATTTCTACTTGGAATCACTCTTCTTGTACGTATGAAAAATAAATTTCTAAAGGAAAAACAAGGTTATATAAAGGGGAAAGCTTAAATGAGAACCTCTTCCATAACGATCTGAAACACATCCTAAGTCACCGTAGATGCATTTCGGCTTTAGATGCATGATCTTGCAGCTAAACAAATAGTGTAGATCTGATGATTTGCGATTAATTAAAATGAACAGACTAGAAACACAATTAAAAATTGTCTTTAAGATTCAATTTTTTTTTTTCCATATTGTTGTTGAGATTAATGGCTTGTGAAATTTAAGAATTAAAATTCATCCCCTAGATGGATTTTTGGAATGAAACTGCAATTGAATAGATACACACCAACATAAAACTGAAAGAGTATACAAGATTTTGTTAAAATATTCAACTTATTCAATTGTAAAACCATGGCCAATCCCAAGCTGTTTCCAAGCGATGATGGAGGAGGCGAGTTGTGCTAGCTAGGCAGGCAACAGGCAACGTAAAACTTTGCCACACTTTCTAATGAATCGTGAACCTAGGTTTGACTGAGCTTATGGCACTTGATAGAGCAGAATGGCGAAACATAATTTGTGTAGCTGACCCCAAATAGTTGGGATAAGGCTCAGATGATAATGATGATGATGAAACAAGTGAATCGAAGGTATCATAGTCATTACTATATTAGTAAAATGGTTATTGTATTGGTTTCGGCACATTTTTCTGCAATAGTTGTATTTCTCAGGACTATTAGGTATTTATACTTTTATTCTGTTACTTCTTTTTTGTTCCTATATTCTGTAATTATATATATTAATCCAATAGAACAGGCTTACTTTTTCCACCCAAACTTTTATGGTTTAGAGCAAACATGGATATCATATCTGCAAATAAACTTTCAAAGGTACCTTCCCTGTTTTCTGTCAAAGTACCTTCCTTGTTTTCTGTCGTCTTAGCCTACCGCCTCTCTTGTTCCAACACTCCTCACTCTTTATATCGTTTGCTTTATCCTGAAAACTATCTCACTATTTTCGCTTTCCAAAGTCATTCTGGCATTCTCTACTCAGCTAGGACTGGATCCATTTTGTCTACTTTAAATGTCTTTCATGGCTTCTTGTACTATTGAATCACTAAAGAACTTGGCGACAACTATTATCGATAAAAAATGGAAGCAAATCATTGCTTTGTATGCACAAAAACAAAAAAAAGAAAAAAAAAAGAAAAGAGTTGCATAGCACAACGGGTAGAGAGAATGATAAGACCTCAAAAGGACACATTTTTGAAACCCCATTAAATCAAACTTTGTATTTCTCTGGGTAGTATGACGATTGTAACAAAAATACAATTTTATATGGTCCAATAGATTTGTTGTCCATGATGGTTCCGGTATTAGTCTCAAGTACTCTATGTTGGCTATTGAATCACTAAAGAACTTGGCGACAACTATTATCGATAAAAAATGGAACCAAATCATTGCTTTGTATGCACAAAAACAAAAAAAAAGAAAAAGAAAGAAAAGAGTTGCATAGCACAACGGGTAGAGCGGATGATAAGACCTCAAAAGGACACATTTTTTAACCCCCATTAAATCAAACTTTGTATTTCTCTGGGTAGTATGACAATTGTAACAAAAAAACAATTTTATATGGTCCAATAGATTTGTTGTCCATGATGGTTCCGGCATTAGTCTCAAGAACTCTATGTTGTTCAGAAAGAGTTCACTGGGGCATAAATTTCCAAGGTTACTAAGGCTGGCAGATGTTAGAGTGAATAACTTGATGAGAGGTACAATAGAAGGTTTAGGGGAACCTGCACAAAACCCTGCTTGCATAGCGGAATATAAATTAGAAGGTTTTAGGATCAGGGTCTTCCATTCAGCAGTCATTGGCGATTGCTAGATTGATAGGCATTGTTCCATGCTCAAGAGTGTCAAATATTTTAACTGCGCTTAGGGTTCTTGCTTTCGGGTGAATAACGATAACTTTTATAGCGAATCACCCACAACAGAGAGCCTATGGTTATCCCTAACATGTGTATTATGCGTCAGGAAGAGGATGAAACTGTGAACCATCTTGCCATCCAGTGGAGAACCGTGACATGAACCTGTTTTGAACCCATATGGGTATCCAAGGTTCTCGCCCAAGAGGGAGGTGCTTTGGCATGTGTCTGATTGGGGTTTTATGGAGTGTGCCCATGGAGCAAAATAATCCTATCATTGAGGTAGAGTGTAGGTGCAGCTACTTAGAATCCAAGATCGTGTTATTCTGCCACCTTGAACAACAAGACTTCAAAAGCTTCAGATTATTTAAGTAATTGGAAGGAGCTGGAACTTTCCTCCCCAGGATCTGTTGCATAACATCAAGGTGGAGAGAATGGTTGTGCTCCCAGTGAAGAGAATAGTAAATGCTTATGCCTTTCTTAGTACAGAGCATCTCTTAAATATGATCAATACTAACATTCGTATGTCATACACAACCATATTTTAATGTTCGAATTTTCCTCAGGCTTTTTCATCCTTTATTTGGGGAAGGCTTTTTCTACCTTTTTTTGGGGAAGATGGTGACAATGTCTTACTAAACAGTGATTAAGAGAGGGAGAGAAAGAAGGGAAGAGAGGAGAGAAGGCACCCATTTGACAAGTACATCTATCAAAAAAATAGAGTGGAGAGTTGAGGCCACCCACAATCCGCGTGCTCAGCCACTCAAAGAGAAGAGATGGGGAGCTAAGGAGAAAGGCAACCCGCATGCCTGGGTTCTCTTTAAAAAATCCTACAAGCTAAGAAAAGAAATCAAGAAAGAGAGAGGAGAGAAGGCACACATTTGAGAAGCTGTGTATCAATATAGCGTGGGGCTCACGAACTCGACAGGTGTACAGCCATTGATGGAAAGGTAGAGGAGGCAGCCCACAGACCGGGTGCTCAGGGATAAGAAAACGTTGTGTCCAAGGGTCACACTTTGAAGCACCTGCCGAAAAGACGATGAAGGAAGAAGGGGAATATAGGAGATGAAGAAAGAAGTAGGTAAGAAAGTGAGGTAAGGAAAGAGAGATAAAAAGGAGGAGAGACATGAAAACCAACAGGAGATGTTAAAACGATATAACTCATGAAGTTGTCGGGGAGCCCAAGAAGGCAGCTCCCTCCTTTGCAAAAGCGTCGGCCTCGGTGTTAGCCTCCCGCCAAATAAGATTGAAGGCAACTAGAAGTCACCTACACCGGTAAAAAATGGAAGCGAGACACCAAAGACCCTAACTCTTGTTGTTAACCCAAAGAATGACACTGATATTATCCTCTTCCGTAATAAGATCAGCCCCCAAGATGCGGTCAAACCTAGAAAGACCTTCGAGCAAAGTGTTGGCCTCAGCCTAGGTGGGGTTACCAGTGCCAAGGAAGCTGGTGGAGGAAAGGATAGTACCCTAATAGTCTCGAAAAATTCTAACATAACCAGATGGTCCTAGACTTCTTAGCGAGCAACTGTTGAAGTTTAATTTGATGTTGCATGGGTTGGGTGGACACCAATAGGAAGAGCAAGAGGGCTTTGGGGGCTCAAACTTGATCATGGCTGACTAGTGAAAAACAAAATCCTCTTTGGCAACATATTTTAGAAGTCTGAAGTTAGAAGGCTAAAGACTGTGAGATTATATGCGGCTTCTGCAATGGCCATTCTCAAACTTTGTTTGCCTCTAAAAATCTCGAGTTTCTCTCTCCCCCAATAGTCCAAAGGAGTGACATGACTGAGGCTCTCAAAGAGGAATATCCCTACAGTAGCATATTATGGAGAGAAGAAAGAGGAAAAAAAACTAACCAACGGATCATGGGCGCCCGCAGCTAATTGAAGTCCTTTATGGTCAAGCCCCAAAGAAATGAGGCTACACTACAATATCAAAAGGGATGAGCATGGAGCTCCTATACTTCAGAGCACATGCAACAAGGATTTGAAAAGAGGAAAACCTCTCTTGCATAAACCTGACATCTCTATTTTTTACCGAGTCCCCGCTTGTGGGTGACTGCGGAACTGTGTTCTTGTAATTATTTACTTCTTTAATACAAGTTAACCTTCTCTCAAAAAAAAAGAGAGGAAAACCACTTTTTTGGAGACGATTAGCGGCGAGATTATGATTGAGAATGGCTAGCCAACTAAGGGCTTGAACTTTGGGTGGAATAGATGAAAGACAAATTTGATTTGAGGTTGAGGTGCAAGAGGGACTACAAACATGGATCAGTAGAAAGACGAGACACTAAAGATCCTTGAGGAATGGGTCAAGACGACTCTATTGACACAAACCCCCCCCCCCCCCCCCACCTAACCAAAAGGACAAAGGAGTTTATAGGGCAGGGGTGTAGGATTTTTTAGGGTGATTTTAGAGCCCCGAACCCCTCGTGAAAAGAGGAAATATAATATTATAGCCACAAAAAAAAATAATAGGAAACAAAAATCACATAATATGAAACAATGACTATATGATATCAATATAAAAATAATAATTATATATAACATCACATAAGAATAAAAATATAAGTATATAACATAAATGTCAATTTATCAAAAACATTACAACAAAAATAATAGAATATCAAAACATGACATATTGTACAAAACAAGATTCAATTATTCATGAAAGAATTCGATATAAACCCAATTTCACCGTCCAAATGAGGAGAAAATCACTTAATCACAAAAAAATCAATCTTTCAACTACAAACATGTAAATATATCATAAAAGCAAGAAACATAAAAGGGAAAAAAAATGATTCACAACATAATACGTTATAGCAAAAAAAAATCTAAACCTTAATTCAAATATGATAATGCTCTAAAAATATCATTATCAAAACGAT